CCGACCTCAGGTGATCCGCCCACCTTGGCCTCCAGAGTGCTTGGATTACAGGCGTGAGCCACCACGCCCGACCCCCAGATCTTCTTTTGCCCTGGTTTACTCTCATTGTGTTGCAGCACATCTTCCAGTGGCTTCCTGAGACGAAGTGAATGAGAAAGAGTGAGAGCTTTCTGACCCCACTTATTTTAAAATCCCACTGCTCCACCCTAACTCCTGATCAATAGTTTGGCTGGAAATAATGCTCTAGTTTAAACGTCACTTCTCCTCACCTTGGGAAATATCGCTCCATTCTTTTCTAGCTTGCAGTGTTGTTGGGAAGAAGTCGGTGTCATGCTGAGACTTGGCTCTTTATATATGACCTGACTTTTCTCTCTGGAAGATTGTAGGATTTTCTCTTTATCCTTGGTTTTCTGAAATTTCCCAGTGATGTGCCTTGTGTCTTCCTTCATTCACTGTGATAGTCACTCTGAATAGCTAGTCACAGTGGTAGCTGCTTTTGAACTAGAAAATTATGTCCTCCTATGGCGGGAAGCCACTAGCAGGTTTGTGTGAGCTGGGTAATTGCATTCTTTTCTTCCAAGGACAGAGGAATCAAGGCCCTGGGAACCTTATCAGTGGATGTGGGGAAAGGGGGACTGCGGTGAATCCAGCAAACCTTTGGCACCAAGTGAGCTCATGTCCCAGGGCGAGGCTCTGCCTGAGGACAATAGATACAAGTGAGACCCACTTCCTGCCTAGTCCCATGCTGCTGCTCAGGACACACATGGTCCAGGAGGCACCCAGCCCCGGGCTGCAGTTACATGAACCTACCTGCACCTAGCATTCAGTGAGCCACAGGACATCGTAGGGGAGGGGGCAGCTCCAGAGGGCAGAATAGGAGGGAGGGAAATAATCACGGGCTGGGGAGTGGCCTTGTGGGAAAGGGGCAGAGGCAGGGCTGTGTGTGTGTGTGTGTGTGTTGTGTATCGGGGGAAATGGGGAGAGCATCTGAGGTTTTGTCTCCCCCTTTTTGTAGCCACTGAACCCCTTTTCCCCTGAACAGTGTTTTCTTTCCATTATGGATTGAATGTCTCTGTGTCCTCCAAATTCACATGGAAGCCCCAGCCCTCTGTGTGGCTGCATCTGGAGATGAGGCCTCTCAGGAAGTCACTGAGGTTTAATGAGGTCCTGAGGGTGGGGCCCTGATTCAGGAGGATTAATGTTCTTATAAGATGAGACACCAGAGAGNTTCAGCTATTTCCTCATTTGCTTCTATGTTTTTGTACCTGTTACCCACCTTTTCTTTACATGCTCCAAGTGGTCTATCAAATGCCAATGATAATTATCCAAAAACTAAGAAGCACTGGGTACTCTGTCAGCCCGTCACTTTCCTGGAGACTTCCCTCTCTCCCTTTCCCTCCACCCTTCTGCTCCAAACTGGACTCACCTCTCTCAGCCCGTGGACGGCTGGCATCCTGGCCTCTCTGCACTGCCATGGGGATTTCTGCTGCCTCTTCTGTGTGCATCTCCTGTTTCCTGGCCCCAGATCTTCTTCTTCTTTTTTTTTTTAAGACGGTGTTTCACCATGTTGATCAGGCTGGTCTCGAACTCCCGACCTCAGGTGATCCGCCCACCTTGGCCTCCAAAGAGCTTGGATTACAGGCATGAGCCACCACGCCCCACCCCCCAGATCTTCTTTCGCCCTGGTTTACTTTCATTGTGTTGCAGCACATCTTCCAGTGGCTTCCTGAGGAAAAGTGAATGAGAAAGAGTGAGAGCTTTCTGACCCCACTTTTTTTAAAATCCCAGTGTTCCACCCTAACTCCTGATCAATAGTTTGGCTGGAAATAATGCTCTAGTTTAAACGTAACTTCTCCTCACATTGGGAAATATCGCTCCATTCTTTTCTAGCTTGCAGTTTTGTTGGGAAGAAGTTGGTGTCATGCTGAGTCTTGGCTCTTTACATATGACCTGTCTTTTCTCTCTGGAAGATTGTAGGATTTTCTCTTTATCATGCTTTTGAACTAGAATATTCTGTCCTCCTATGGCGGGAAGCCACCAGCAGGTTTGTGTGAGCTGGGTAATGGCATTCTTTTCTTCCAAGGACAGAGGTATCAAGGCCCTGGGAACCTTATCAGTGTTTGTGGGGAAAGGGGGCCTGCGGTGAATCCAACAAACCTTTGGCACCAACTGAGCTCATGTCCCAGGGTGAGGCTCTGACTGAGGACAATAGATACAAGTGAGACCCACTTCCTGCCTAGTCCCATGCTGGGGCTCAGGACACACATGGTCCAGGAGGCCCCCAGCCCCGGGCTGCAGTTACATGAATCTACCTACACCTAGCATTCAGTGAGCCACAGGACATCATAGGGGAGGGGGCAGCTCCAGAGGGCAGAATAGGAGGGAGGGAAATTATCATGGGGTGGGGAGTGGCACTGTGGGAAAGGGGTAGAGGCAGGGCCGTGTGTGTATGTGTATGTGTGTGTGTGTGTGTGTGTGTGTGTGTGTGTGTGTGTGTGTGTGTG